GAAGGAGAAGGAGAAGCACTCGACCCAGCTCAGGTGTGGTTGGGGGTGGGAGGGGAAGAGGGGCCCCCGCTCAGCACCCCAGGCCCACTTGGGCCCCTCTGGCTGCAGCTGACACCCTTACACACTGGGGGGGGTAGAGAATGACTTCCTTTCACTGGCCCTGAGGTTGGGGGCCCGGAAGAAGTGGGCAACCCTGCCTCAAGCCTCGAATCCTTGGGGTCGTGGCCTCCTCCCGCAACCCTGACAACTGAGTCCCTGGCAGCACGGAATGGCACGTTCACTTCCCTCGGCAGGATCACGCTGGGCAAGTCAAAGGCCCCTCTGCCTGACCCCCTGAAGAAGACCCAGGCCCAGCAACCGGAGAAGCCCCCGGGCAGGTGAATGTGGCCTGGGGGGAGGAGCGGAGAGGCACCCACCAGGCAGGGGGCATGCTGGTGTGCCCACCTGTGGAAAGGGCCTCCTGGGGGTGGTGGGCGCACATCTGCTGGGCTCCTGCACGGAGCCTTTTCTGCAACCTTCCTTGTGCCCTCCCCCCCCCCCCCCCGCCTGCAACTCAAGAGTCCAGATTGTCTGTGAGAGGCTGAAAGAAACTTTCCCACCTAAGGCTGATTTGGGGGGCAGAGAGCAAAGAGTGTCGGGGCCAGCCTGCTCCACGGCCGCCATTGGGGACAGGCAGGAGGTCTCCAGGCCCTTCCCAGCCCCCCCTCTCACATTCCCACATTCTCCATGGATCCGGCCAGGCCCTGGAACATACCCTTATAAGGCAGGGCTGTTGTGAGGCTGCTGTTTTCCTTGCCTCCACCCTCCGCCTGCCTCCCTTCCCTCTTCCTGCGCCTTCAGGCTGCCTCTGCTCCCTTCCACCCTCCCCAGGTGCCCCTGCCTTGTGCATCCTCGCCTTCCTGCCTCCCCCCCCCCAGATGGGACACCCCCCCACACCAAATCTCATGGGAGAGAGACTCTGCTTGCTTCCCTTCCAGGCAGCAGGCTGTATGGAGGGGGGGGGGCTGATTGGCTGTGTGGAGGGGCTCCTCCAGCAAAGTCCCAGGCAGACTGCATGTATTGGGGGGGGGCTTGTGGTCCTGAGACAGGCTGCAGCCTCCCTGGGGGCTGTGCCTGATGGGGGTGGCGGGGGTTCTGCAGAGGTGGCATTCTGCTCCGCTCCCCAAGATGAAGTGCCAGTCTGTGGGTCACTTCCCATGCTTTTAGAAGGGAAGCAGAGGGTGCCCCCCCAAGCAGCCAGGATCCAGGTGTAGCCCACCTGTCCTCCCCTTCCTTTCTCCCTCTGCAGGCCACCCTCCCCTTCTCTGTAGGAGATGGCCAGAGGGCAGCTGGGTGTTTATGTGGTCATTTCTGGGCAGCGGCTCTTAGTTAAATATTTCTAGACGGACACATCCTTCCTCCCCCCCCCATGGCTTGGGGGTGTGCTTCTCCTGCAAGAGAGCGAGCCCCTCCCCCTTCCTGCCTCCCTGACCTTTGATCGCCTCTGCCCCAGGCCCATCCCTGGCCCAAAGGCAAGCAAGCTTTTGCACAGGGGCCAAATAGAGTCCCACAGAGTAAAACAGCAGCATCATCTCTGGGGCTTCCTCCCTCCCTCCCTCCTGGTGGGCGTTGGGGAGGGGCCCCTACTGCTGCTAGAAGTCCAGTGGGGAGGGGGAGCATTTCTCTGGCCTGGGGGGGGGCTGTCTGCAAGTTTCTGCTGGGTTCAAATGGGAGGTGGTCTCAATATTGAAAGGGGGCAGCCTGTCTTGGACCAGATCAAGAGATCCACCCTGCCCTTCTGCAGAAGGGGGTGGGGGCCCCCACGGAGCAGGCCAGATCATCGTCATGCCGTCCGAGGGGGAGGTTGGGACTTTTCCCCTTGTGCAACAACAGCCTGGAAGGAGCCTCTTTTGACACAACCTTCGGGCTTCCGTCCTTGCATCACTGCACTTGTGGTTAGATTGCGCTTGGACCAGGCGGCGCAAGAACCGAGCATCTCGGAGGGTGCGGGGCTGATTTGACCAGGAGGGGCTTAGGGGGGTGGCATTGCTGAACTGCCATTGATAGGCAAATCCTTGGCCTTTTTTTTTTTTTTTTTTGGCCTGTGGTGGATTCACACACGTTCTGGGCTTAGCTGAATATGCAGCAACAGCCCCAAAAGCTAATACAATCCTTGGTTCTATAAACAGAGGCATAGACTCAAAATCACCTGAATTATTAGTACCGGTTTATAAAACTTTTAATAAGACCAGATCTGGAATCCTGCGTCCAGTTTTGATCACCACACTACAAAAAGGGTGTTGAGACTTTGGAAAAAGTACAAAGAGCAACTAAGACAATTAAAGGCCTGGAGACAAAAATATACGAAGCACGGTTGCAGGATTTGGGTTTGGCTAGTCTAAAGAAAAGAAGGACTGGGGGGGGGGGACATAATAGCAGTGTTCCAGTAGTTGAGGGGCTGCCACAAAGAAAAGGGGGTCAACCTATTTTCTAAAGGATTTTAAGACAAGACAATGGATCTAATCAAGGAGAGAACCAACCTAGAACTAAGGAGAAATCTAACAGTGAGAACAATTAACCAGTGGAACAGCTTGCCACCAGAAGTTGTGGGTGCTCCAACACTGGAGGTTTTTAAGAAGAGACTGGGCAGCCACTTGTCTGAAATTCTATAGGGTCTCCTACTTGAGCAGGGGGTTGGACTAGAAGACCTCCAAGGTCCCTTCCAGCTCCATTCTGAATGTGATGAATGCATTTGCACAATCAATCCTAGCTTGCTTAGGCTTCGCCCACTCGCCCAATAGGTGAAGGCAGTGATTCTGTGGGTTCCATCCAGGTGTGTCCAGCTTCAGGCACCTGTAAGTAGAACTACCTGGCAGGATTAAGCAAGCCCAGGGGCTTCTGGACCACATTGTTCATGGCAAGCAGACGACGCGTGTGCCGTGGGACGGTGCATAATGCGCTGGGGCTTTGAGAGTGGAAAAGCAGGGAGTTGTGTGTGAGCTGCAGCCTCACCTCCGGCTGCCAGGAACCTTCGCTCTCACCTGCCCTACTTCCCCTCCAGGTGTGCCAGGCCTCTGTTCTTTCCCGGGGCACAGAAACTTGCTCAACCTTCCCTTCTAATGAAAGGCTGCCGCTGCTTTCAGGAAGCTGGTTTTTCTCAGTACCTCATTTTGCACGACCTCTTCTTTTTTATTTTTTTTAAACCTTTGTGAGTTGCTGCGATAGTTTTGGACAAATTGCTCTCAGCACCTGGTTCTTTTTCCGAGCAGGGCTCTCCAACCTTGGCCGTGCGCTGGCTGGGGAATTCTGGGAGTTGAAGTCCACCAGTCATAAAAGGGCCAAGTTTGAGGAATGCTCCGCTGGGCTGCTGCCCTCTTTGTCAGACCACAGAGCAGATTCAGAAGCTCCCCGGGGCCTTTGTGGCTTTAACCCTGCCCTTCCGGCCAGCGGGAGCAGCCCAGGAGCCACAGAAATCAATGTCCCGGGCCTCCCCCCCCCCGCCCTCCTCCTTTTCCAGAGAGGCAGCTGTTGGCAGCTGGGCTGGGCTCTGCCCCAACCTGCCTGGAGGTCTGGCTCTCCCAGTTCAGGGGAGGGAGGGGCTGGGCCTGGAGAGCAACTGCCTGGCAGGGGAAGACTGCAGGGGAGGGGGGGGCTTGGAATGTGTCAGGGAGAGGGATGTGCCCTCCTGGGAGGGGGGGCTCCTGCTTTGTTCTGGCTAGGGCTGATTTCCCTGGAGGCAAACGTGCAGTGGCCCCACACAGCTGGAATGCTGCTGCTGCTCCTCCTCCTCCTCCATGGGCAGCTGTGCCTATAACTGGCAGTTTAGAGTTCATCTGTGGGCATTTCTTTCTGTGCCACCCCCAGCAAGGTTTCTTCCATCCCAGGCCTGCTTGCCTGGGCCTTCCGCTTTTCCTGTTTTGCAAGTTACTACAATTCCTCCGGCTTCTTTGAGGAGAAATTAAGAACTCATTGAGCTTTCTTTTCCTTCCTTCCTTCCTCCCTCCCTCCCTCCCTCCCTCCATTTCTCCCCTTCCCCATAGAAGGAAGAAGCTGGCAAAATTAGCCTCCTTTATCTAAATTTCAGATGGGGGGGAACAGGGGAGAGAGGGCCGCAAACAATACAAATTGTTTGACAACTTGCAAATACTTTTGCATACTTCACCCTTAATCCTTTTTTGCATATGGACCACAAAGAGCCCCTCCCTCTCTGACAATGGAAGATCTTATGGGCACTTTTCCTACCCGTGAATTGTTCTCATTCAGAGATGCTGCATCTTCCTGGCCTGAAGGGTTTGGGTGGGTTAGAAATATGAAATGCAAATAAATAAACGTAACCATCTGCAGCTGAGGAGGATTGGCTGGGGGGTGCACACCCCCAAGAACCAGCTGTGCAGCTTCTGATGGGCGTATCGGGCCATGTTGCACCCGGGATCCTAAAGGGGGAGGAAGCCCCTTTGCCCCTCCCTGACTGGCCCTTCTCTCGTCCCCTGAAAGTTCCTTTCTGCAGTTTTGCATTGCAGCTGTAGCTCCAGGGCTGGCCAGCCTGAAGGGGGTCTGGGCTGGGGGCAACTTTGTCTGTCTGTGTGCCCCTCTCAGTGCTGCTCTGGCAACAGCTGCACCCAATTTTTGCCTTGTCTTTTTAACCTCTCTCCACGCTGCCCCACGGAGTTTACATCAAGGGGGTTCAATTTTGGCAACTTTAAGACTTGTGGATTTAATTCCCAGAAATCTGTGAGGGGAATTCTGGGAGTTGCAGTCCACAGGTCTTAAAAGTTGCAAGGTCGGACACGCCTGGTCCACACTTAAAGGTCAGGTGTGAATTTGTAGGCGAACACATCTAACACAAATGCAGGCGAGACGGGGTTTTTGTGACAGATGGGCACCGTCTATGGGAGCAGTGGGGCTGAATTCGGTGGTGGCGAAGGACTGCTGGGCGGGCGGTGTGCCTTATGGAGCCGTGCCCCTTGGCACCACCTCCCCCATTCATGCTTCATCCCCCCCTCCTCTCTTTCTCCCCCCAGCGAGTCTGTGGTCTGCAGCACCCGTGCCACGGTCATGCTCTACGACGACGCCAATAAGAAATGGGTCCCGGCAGGAACTGGTGCCCAGGCCTTCAGCCGCATCCAGATTTACCACAGCCCTGCCAGCAACACCTTCCGGGTGGTGGGCCGCAAGATGCAGCCGGACCAGCAGGTAACCCCCCCCCATGTTTTTAAATATCCCCCCCCAAAGGCCCAAACATCCAAGAGCTGGTCTTGAGGCTGTAAAGCTTCCCCTGCTCACCGGTCTCAGCTTGTGTCCACATTGGGGGGACGAGGCCTTCCTATTCGGGGTGTCTGTGTCTGTGTGTGTGCGCACGCCCTCTATTTTTGCCTCTGTGCACCCCTTAGATTCCCCCTCAGGCTGATGGAAGAAGTCCAAGCTGACTTTCTCAGCCTCTGATTTAAAATCCCGTTCTATTGGGAAGTAGCGTCTTTCCAAGTTGTTACGGGTAATCCTCGACTTACAACCACAACTGAGCCCAAAATTTCTGATGTTAAGCAAAACAGTTGCTAAGTGAGTTTTGCCCATTTCTTGCCACAGTCGCTAAGTGAATCATTGCAGTTAACTTAGTCACACGGTCGTTAAATGAATCTGGCTTCCCCCATTGACTTTGCTGGTCAGAAGGTCGGAAAAGGGGATCACGTGACCCCAAAGGGACGCTGCGACCGTCATAAATGTGAACCAGTTACCCAAACACCTGAATTTTGATCACGTGACCATGGGGCGGGGGGAATGCCGCAACGGTCGTTAAGTGTGAAAAACGATCATAAGGCCCCTTTTTCAGAGTTGTCACTAAATGAGCTGCTGTAAGTCGAGCACTACCTGCATCACAATCCATGGTTAATAAAAAGATGAATTCCCCCAATGGAGCAAAGTGTCGTGGGAAGGCAGTCCTGAATCCAGGGCAGTGGACTTGCTCGCATCCGGAGCCTTTCCTCCAGCCCCGGAGCCCCCAGAACCCCCCAGGAGGGCAGGGAGGGGGGCTCTGCCCGGGGCAGCCCCCCAGGTGCGGAGGGCCTCCTGAGCTCAGCCGCTCTGCCCGTGCCCGCAGGTGGTCATCAACAGTCCCATCGTGAAGGGGCTGAAGTACAACCAGGCCACGCCCAACTTCCACCAGTGGCGCGATGCCCGCCAGGTCTGGGGGCTCAACTTCAGCAGCAAAGAGGATGCCAGCCAGTTTGCCAACGGCATGATGCACGCCCTGGACAGCCTGGATGCCGGTGAGGCTTGATGGGCCGAGGGGGGCGGGCACTGGGGTTGGGGGCGGAGGGAGCTGAGCCAGGGGGAAAGGCCGGGGTCCGCAAGGGAAAGCAAGCCGAGCCCTTTCTGCGCCTCTCCCCGAAGGGTGGGTGCTGGTGGTTTCCATGCCTGGGGGCGGCAAAGTCAGGTGGGTATCGGAGCTGGCAGGCTGTGGGGGGGGGACTGCTTGGCCTGGAAAAGAGCAGAACTGCTGGTTGGACTCAAAGATGGGGTACAAACCTGTTTTTGGGTGGACTGTGTCTCCCCAGGAAACTCTGCACCCCCCCTGCGCCCCACCCAGAACGGACCCACTGCAGATGAACTGGCAGAGCAGCAGAAAAGGTACAGGAAGCCTCTGCCAGGTTGAAAAGTTCCGGGGGGGGGAGGTGGCGGGGGGGGGGCAGAGCCGGAGGTTCCTTGCAACAAGGAGGAAGTTTCTGTTACTTCATCAAACAGGAAGAAAAGGATTATTGTTCTCACTTCACTCGGCCCTGTGTTTGAACAAGCCACACACTTTAAAAAAAAAGAAAGAAAACCACCTCTCCTTTCCCAGCGCGGAAGGTGCTGGGATCCCCTTTTGCCGGGGGGGGGGGGGAGAGCGGGGGCCGCAGGAGACCCCCTGGCCCAGAGAAGTCTCCCTTTGGTGCCCGGCCTGCCTTCTTAGACACCACAAGAATTGCCCAGAGCAGAAAGCAAGGCTGTGTCTGTGATTGTGTGTGTGGGTGTGTATGTGTGTGAGAGATTGTGTGTCTCTGTGTGTGTAAAGGCCCTCCTTGATCAGATTAGCAGCTAATCAGCTTGCAGGGCTCCCTGCTGGGGTAATACCAGCCGATTCGGATGTGCTCCACCTCGTCCCCCTCGTGATGTGTGGCGTTCCCCTTTCCAGCCTCTTGCCCGCCCCTCCGCCGGAGTGAGTGGGGTGGGCCGAGAGGGGCCGTGGGGGGCTTGGGAGCAGGAGGCCTCCCGGGGGGGGGCTGCCAGCGGGCACTGAGGCCTCTTCTGCCCTCTTGATCCCAGGCACCAAGCGCAGCTGGAGAAGGAGCCGCCGGAGCAGGCAGAGCGGGAGCGACGGGGGCCCATCGGAGGTGGGTGCCAGGGTGGGAGGTGGGGGCATCAGCCCCTCGCCTGCCCTCCCCCCCAGGCTTCCAGGATGCAGATAGGGGAAGCCCCTGTCAACTCTGCATGGGCGGGGAGGGGGGCTTAGGGCAGGGATCCCCAGCCTGGCCACTTTAAGGCTTGTGGACTTCAACTCCCAGAATTCCTCAGCCAGAATTCTGGGAGTTGAAGTCCACAAGTCTTAAAGTGGCTGAGGTTGGGAATCTCTGCCTTAGGGGACCTCCCCTCGGGGCGCCCAAAGAATGACCCGGTTATGCCCCTCCCCCACTGGGTGCTTGGCAGAAGCAGGCACTAGTTGGGGAAGAGGGTTCTTGGCTCAGGGGGGGTGGGGGGGATTTTCTGTTCATTTCCAGCTTTTGGGAGGGGGACAAGGCTGCCACAGCTGGGGGCTCCCATCCTTCTCTCTCTCCTTCTCTTGCTGCAGCCCCTCAGGTTGCCCCTCCAGCGGGGGGCCCTCCGCCACCCCCGGGACCACCTCCAGCCCCCCCTGGGCCACCACCAGGACCTCCGGGGCCACCGCCAGGAGCCCACAGCGGCCCTCCCCCTCCTCCTGGGCCACCCCCTCCTCCAGGCCCACCGCCTGGCCCTCCGCCCTTAGGAGGGGGGCCACCCCCGGCCCCTCCCCTCCCTGCTTCCCTGGGCCCAGGTGGAGGGGCTGGACTACCCACCGGCTTGGCCGCGGCTCTGGCAGGAGCAAAGCTGAAGAAGACGGGCAAGGTGAGTCTCCCGTGACCCCCGTGCCAGGCCCCCAGCAGGCCATGGGGGGGGGGAGCTGTGCCTCTTCCTGTGATGGGGCAGCCCCTCGAGGCAGCTTTCCTGCGGGGGTCCCCTGGCAGTGGAGATTGCAGGCAGGGAGAGGGGCTGTGTGTTGGGAGGGCATTGGTTTGGGGGAGCCCACCTCACCCCCGCATCTTCCCACTCCTGCAGGAGGAAGGAGCAAAGCCTGCACCTGGTGGAGGCGCCCCCCCCAGCGCTCCCGGGGGAGGGGGGCTGATGGAAGAAATGAGTGCCAAGTTAGCCAGGCGGTGAGTGGGCACAGCTCTGGGGGGAGGGGTGGCCATTGGGAGGACAGCCTGGCTGTGGGGACTTCTCAGGTTGTGGGACTTTGCCCCCCGACCTGGCATCAAAAGGCTCTGTAGGAGATGGGGGGGGGGAGGGCTGGCTTTGCAGGCCAGAAATGCTGCATCTTGCCCTCCCAGGGCTGAGAAATGGTTTTGTCCAGGGGGGCTGGCTGTTGGTGTGCGTGTCCATGCTCATGGGTGCTGGGCAGGGTCCCCATTGCTGGTCTGGTATACAGTATGGCAAGGGGGTCCCTTGTGAAAGTCATTGGCTGGCAGGCAGGGTGGGGAGGGGGTCTCGAAGGGCAAGGTACCTGCTTCCAGAAAAAATTAACTAATTAGCATCTTACTTCTGCAACCAAAATGATTGTGCCCCTGAAAGTCAGTGTTTTTGCTGCAGAGTTTCAGCTGCAGAGTCTGGGCGTCCTGGAGAGGGTTGGGGGTCTCCCATACAGCCAGTGGCCTGCAGGATGTCTTGCGCAGCTGGGTCTGCATCGACTTGGCAATATGCTTTGGGCACGAGGCATCCTGGCACTCACCCCACCCCTCCCTTTTGGGAGCGATTTCGGTTTCCTCCCCTCCCCCCCACGCTTTGTCTGCCCGTGCAAAGAAGAACCGTTCTGGGAAAGAAGCTTAGCATCTTTCTGTCTCTCCCCCCTCCCCCCACCCCCCAGAAGGAGAGTTGCAGAGCAAGGCGAGAAGACCATTCCCAAAAAGGAGGAAGGCCCTTTGCACGTGAGTCTGGGTGGGGCCCCCAAATGTACCTTCCTACCCCGATCCGCTGGAGGGCAAGGCCTGCCGGCTGCACGTTAGCTGGGGTGGAAGGGGGTCTTTGCAGCCCCTGCTCCCCCCTCCAATACACCGCCGAGCCCCTTTGCTCCTGTGGCTGGGCTGGCCTGCCCACCTCCCGTGGCTGCGTGGCTGTGGCGTGCCAGGCGCCAATCACACTCCACGTCAGACCAGCAAAACCACACCCTCGTACCCCCCGCTTCCCGCCCTCGTGCCCTCCTGGTTCTGCTGCCCCTGCCAAAGGGGTCTCGGTGGGAAGGAGGAAGCAGGGAGGGGCACTGAGGGCGAGTCCGGAGCGCCCTGACCTTTGCCCCTCTCTTTTGCCCCCAGCAAGAAGACGCTGATGCCACTGGTGCCAAGCCCACAGGTGGGTGAACGGGGGCTGGTGCAAGACGTTCCCAGGGGACCCCTCTGGTCCCTGCTGCCCCCCTGGATCAGCACAGGCAGGAGGAGACAAGCCAGCTCAGCTGGCTTAACCTGGTTACTGAATCGGCCCATTTCCTGAGTTTGCCCAACCTGTTAAAATACCGAGGTACTAGAAAGATAGCTAGGATTAAAACTAGCTATCTTTGGCAGGTTGTGTGAATTAGTCACCATGTTTGCAACTGATTAAGTCAACACCCAAAAGATCAGGTCTCCCCAGAGCATCATTTCAATGGGGGGCCTTCTGTCTGGATGGGAGGGTCTCTTTTTAAGGTTTCTCCCCCACCCAAAAAAAAGGTGGAATGTTTTCCATCCTTTCCTCCCTCAAACAGCAGTTATGGATAATCTCTGCCTTCTTTCCTTCAAAAAAACATTCTAGTCCTCATGAAAGGATCCCCCAGGCTTTGTATGAGAAAAGGAGAGCAGGTGCATAGCAAGAAATAGCTGAAGGCAGCTCAACAAGTGAGCCAAGCTGCATGGAAGCTTTTAGTGCTGGAACTCTATAAAGAGGGCGAAGAGCTAAAAAGGATGTCAGGACGAGGGGCTGGGCTGCTTCCCTTTCTGCTAGAAGATCCTTGCAGTTAGCAAAATGGAAGAATCGCTTCTGAGGGAAGACTCTGGACTGAAGCACGAATGGAGAAGATCTCGCACCCAAAACACGCTCCCCACAGCCTTCCCTCTCTTGATCATTACAGATGCCTTCCGGAGACCTTGGGAGAAGTCCAGTACAACCTTACCCAGGTGAGGGGCACTCCCCCCAGTTCCTCCTGACAGCCCTGCAGTGGGAGGGGCTCTTCTGCTCCCCCCCCCAGCCCGAGTTCCTCGCAAGCAGCCCCAGAGCGAACAGGGATGAGCTGAGCCTCCTGTGCACGCACAAGGACCCCCAATCCTCCCCCCACCTCCCAGCCTGCAACTGAGTCTCTCTCTTCCCCCCATCAGGACAGCCGTGAGCCAGAAGATCACTGCGCCCCCCGCCACAGGTCGGCCACAGGTCGGCCACTTTAGGTATCAGGCAGGAGGGGCTGGGAAGCCAGATACGTACAGCAGGGGAGGGCAGCTTGACCGGTGGGCTTCAGCTCATGGCTGGCTCAGGAATTCTGGGAGCTGAAGTCCACTGGTCGTCAGATTGCTGCAGGTGCCCACCCCTGCCGTACAGTGGATTTTCTGCAGACGTTGGGGGCAGGAGCTTTTCTACTTGGGGGCCCCAAAGACCCCAGGATACCCGTCATCCAGGCTGGTTGGACGCCAGGGGGCTGTTGGCTGGAGGGGCTCCAGCTGGGAAGGCTGGGCTGCGGAGTCTCCCTTTGGTTTGCTCACTTCCTGAAAGACCCAGCCTCAGGGCCAGAGCAGGACCCCTTCCTGCCCCTGCTGGCATCGGGCCGAGCCATCCCCAGGCCAGGGGGCAGGGAAGGGGGGCTGGAATGTCTCTCCAGCAAGGCAGAAAAAACGTTTTCTCTCTTCTGCTCCAACCAGCCCGACCTCCAGGGTGGAAATGGTGCCAGGAAGAGGGTCCCAGCCCCTTCAGCCCCTCCCCCCCTGGGATCCTTTTTCCCAGAGCCTGCTAGTTTTGGAGCTGCTGGTGCCCCCACATCTGGCTGCTTTCGCTTCTGGTTCTCTCTGGCTGTTTCTTCAACATCTGGGTGGAAGAGAGCTCTCCTCCCCCCCCCAGGATGAAGCCCCTCCCTTTCTGCTTCTTGGCCTTCAGCGTGGAGACGCTTACTGGAAGGGTGGGCATCTGTGCCCGTCTGCTTTGGACTCCCTCTTCCTGGGTCTCCCACCCCCCCTGAAAGGGCCCTCAGAAGGCCCGGCTCCATCTTCTGCCAGGTGAAGGTGGGCTGTACCTCGGGGCATCCTCTCCACCCAACAAAGGAGGCTATTTGTAGCTCAGGGTTGGACTGGACTGAGGGGGTCCTGGGTGCTCTCTGAGCTGGTGGTTTTCTTGCAGGCGTTTCATGACCCAACTAGGGAACATCATCAGTGCTACTGAAGTTACCTAGTGTGGGTAATGAAACTTCTGCCAAAGAACAGCCACGTTGAGAGAGCACCGAGGAGCCCTCGCTCAGCTCTGTGCAAACAAGCCATTTGTTGCCCCCTGCCAGTCCTGAGCCCTCTACCTGGCTTGGAAGGTGTTGGAGTGGCCTTGGTGTTGGGGGTTCTCAGGAGGGGGGGGCATCTGCAAAGATGGCCGGGTTCTCTGATCCTGGCCTTCTCATCGTCCCAGGATGAAATCTGCTGGAGCCATGACGGCCGGAGAGCCCGCGGGTGGCGCAGGGGATGAATCCGAACTGGAACGGGTGAAACAGGTAAGCCCACGCCCAGCCCTGGGCTGACGCTGCCTGAGACCCTTGTGCAGCCCGGTTCACACATGCTCCTTGCACAGTTAGCCCCTTGCACCATGGGTGCTCCTGGGTGCTGCTTATTCAGGGCTAACAGGACATGGGCGGGATGGGCAGGGGGGGGAGACGCGGTCGGGAAAAGGGGCATCTTGGATGAGCAGCACTCATGCCACCCTGCCAGTGGGACCCTCCTGGTTTCAGTGCTGGAGAGATCCAGCCTTGCAGCTTCTCCCTGGCTTGCTTGTTGTAAGTCACACGCGCGCACACACACACACACACACACACACACACAAAAATACGTTACACAAAGACACAGGTTCCTTTTCCTAAGTGTGCATCCTTTCCCCAGGAACTTCTGCAAGAGGTTCGGCGTGAACTACAGAAAGTCAAAGAGGAGATAATCCAAGGTGGGTTGGAGCCCCATAGACATTGAGGGACATCCCCACCAGCTCTGCCTGGGGATGGTTTGGGGGGCTCCTGGGGTAGAGAAGGCTGACCCAGCTCTGCTGAATCGCCCAAAACTGACCCGAGTGTTTCTCTCCCCCTCTGCAGCATTCATCGCAGAGCTTCGGAAGAGGGGGTCCCCTTAGCCCCCAGACCCAGCCGGTGCCACCCGGAGTCAGCAGTCAAATTCTCCCTCTTGCGCAGAAGAGAATAAAACGGAAAATCACAAAGGCCCCCTCCTCACCTTTCCAGCCCCCTCACGCACCAGACAAGCCCCCATGCACCCCCTTCCCTATCGGCTCCCACTGTGCAATTTTGGGGCGAGGGAGAGGAACAATCCGTGCTGTCCCCCACCCCAGGAAGGGCAGGACCCCCACCTGTGCCTTACCCAGAGCAATAGCAGGACCCTCCCCGACACCCCCCCCCCAAGGAAGGAAGCGGGCTCTTTCCCTGGCGGAAGGGGCTCCCTTCTCCCCTCACTGGGCCAGCCCCAGTCTAGGAAGGGCCAGTCCCTCTGCCCCCCCTCCCCTTTTGGGCTCTCAGACAAGAACTGTGGTTTCCTCCCCCACCCCAGAGGGGCCTGTGCCGCCCAGCCGGAGGAGGGGCTGGCAAAGGGCCCAGGGAAATGCCCTTGACTGAAGCCAACGTTGGAGGCTCCCTTCCTGCAGCTTGCAAGGACCAAACTGGGCAGTTCTCCCGGGTGGGGCTCCATCTCCCCCCCCTCTCCTGGGAGCGTTTCTGAGCCCCTCCGTTTTCCTCCTGCAGGAGAGGCGGCATAAGTGACAGGCAGAGCAGAGCCATGGAGAGCCGGGTCCCGTGGCTGCAAACGGGGTGCCCTGTGGCAGCTGGCCGGGAAGCCTTGGCTGAGATGCCCCCTGCCAACCCCCCAAGTTGGGAGCCCTGCTCCTGGGGAGGGTGTCCCTCCTTCCAAAGATGGCGCTCTTCTGGGCAAGGCCCCGTCAGTCCCCCCACACGCTTCCCAAGACCCTTTCCCCATTCCATGTCCTCTGCTGGTTTCACTCGGTTTTGTAACTCTTTGATTTTATGCAAGGGGAGAGGGCACTTTTTAAGGTATTTTTTCTCAAAGCCCCCCCCTCTGGGTCTTTTTTTTTAAATAAACAGGTTTTCACCCTTCTACCTCCTTCAGGCCATGGAGGAAACAGGGCGGGTTCTTGGCTTTTCTACTGAGCTGTAATTTTTTGACTTTGTTTTTGTCAAGCTGGATAGAATATTATATTTTGATTTTATTATTATTATTGTTATTACTGATCTGCTGGGTTTCTCTGCCCGACCTCTTTCCACCCTTCCGCCACACCGCACGCATCGCCTGCAGACGGGCACTAGGACCTCGGGCACGTCCACCAGACTTCTCTTACGAATAAATCTTTTCCTTTTTGTAAAGTTACAAAACGCTTTGGCATCTGCACGTTTCCTTTTGTTGAGCTTTGGGGAACAAGTGGCAGGAGGCCAGGGCAAAATTCCTCTGGGTTGAAGTTCTCTGTGAGGACTTGGAAAAGCCTAAACCGGTCAGGGGCAGGACTGAGCGGCGTTTGGGGAGCGGTCCTGAGGCGGAGGGCCGCACGGGAGGCCTGTGGCCTTGTTCACAATACAGGTATTCCTTGACAAGTGATCATAATAGAGCCTGGAATTTCCATTGCAAAATCATGACGGCCATAAGTCAAGGCACCCACAGGCCTGGGCCTGATCTTACAACCTATTTTGTGTAGATTCTTATTTCTGCCTCTTAAACCAGAGGTCTCCAAACCTGGCAACTTTTAAGAGTTGTGGACTTCCCTCCACAACCTGCCACCTGAATTTAAGAACAAGGCGCGGTGATCAACTCTGATGGACAGTTATGGTGATGATGAGTACCGGCAATCCTCAACTTGCAATCATTCATTTAATGACTGTTTGAATTTAAAATGACACTGAAAAAAGTGGCTTCTGCCTGATCCTCACACTTTTATGACTGTTGTAGCACCCTCAGTCACATGATCAAAATTCAAGCATTTGGCAACTGGTGTGTGTGTGTATTGCAGTTGCAAAATCTGGGGATCACATGATCAAAATCTGCAATCTTCCCATAACCAAAGTCATTGGAGGAAGCCAGATTTCCTTAACGACTACACGATTTACTTAACAGCAGCAGCAAAAAAGGTTGTAAAATCAGATGCAAACTCACTTAACAACCCCTTTCTTAGGGGTGAAAATTCTGGTCCCAATTGTCATAAGTCGAGGACCGCCTGTACACCACCGAGATACCTGGAAGGACATCTCTGCAAGAAGCCGGTCTCTGGCAGCATTTCTTATGCTGACTAGGGAATTCTGGGAATTGAAGCCCCCACTTCTTAAAAGTTGCCACGATTGAGAAAACCCATTGGGTTGCTAAGAGTCAACGTTGATGCTACATCATCAACCCACATGGTGTCCTCGTTTGGTTTCCAAACATCCAACCTGCTTCCTGATAAATCCACTTTCCTCCCCAGCTCCAGCATCAGACCTGGGTGGCTGCTTGTTCTCGGAAGAGCAGCAGCTGCCACACCCTGAGCAGGGCAGTTCTATCCTGGGGCTAAAACTGCTAAAACCCGTGAGGAGGGGGCTGGAGCCGTTGCAGACCCTGCCCTGGCTGTGACAGAAGGAAGGAAACCTGATCCTCTTTCTCTTGCTTTTTTAATCGATCCAATATTTACATTCTAGGAAAACGCCAAGCCACTCGGTTGGGGTGCACATCCCAGCACCCCAAATCCTAACCTGCCTGTGAAGGAACGCCGACCGCTCCCCCTGGCGGTCTGGATCCAGCCTGGGAGACCACCCAGGAAGTGCCCCACCCTCGCCGTCCTGAGGGGCGGCAGGCTGCTACTTCTTGGGGGCGGTGGAGACCTCCACCAGCACCCGGTTCATCTCCCGCAGCCGGGCGTCCAAGGTCTCCACAGTCAAGCTGAGCTCCATCACCTGCTCCTGCAGGCCCAGCAAGGTGCTGTCCAGCTCCTCCTCCTTCTTCTTGGTGTTGGTGGTCTGGCGCGAGTATTCCAGGAAGATGCACAGCCCCCCCACCCCAAAGACGATGGCCTCGCCCAGCAGCTCGGCGCCCAGTTCTGCAGCCGCCTCCTCGTTCAGGGGCTTGATGGCGGCGCCCCGGAAGCCCATGATCCGCATCTTGGCCCGCATCTCCACCCAGTGGTAGACTGCAAGAGAAGAGGGAAGGCCTGTGGGCACCGGGCAGCCGGGGCGGGGGCAAGCCGCGCCTTTTATACTGGCAGGGGTCGCCCGACCCACCCAAGTTAAGCCCCTGGAGGTCAGCCGACGTTCCATGGAAGGTCCCGAAAGTCTCCGGTCCCCCGTCAGTGGGGAGGGGGATGCCCCGGGGAGCCCCTGCCACCAGCTAGGAGGCAGCTCCGGAGCAGTCAGCGCGGGCCTCCGGAGGCTGGCAGGGAGCAAGGCAGAGTCCGCGGGGCCAGAGTCCCGGGTGAGCAGCGGCCTTGGCTGCAGGGGTCCCCCTCCTCCGGGACCGCCCCGCAGGCTGCGCGAACCGGAGCTCCGCCGGGCGAAGAGGAAGGGAGCAGTTGGAGACGACCGCGGAGGGGCTGCCTCCTTCCCTCCGCCGCCCTGGCACCCCCGAGGTGTGGAGGGAGGGCGTCGGTCCTAAACACGAGGGAGCGCCGGGAGAACCGGGGCCGCTTCCTTTTGCCACGGGCGGGACGGAGAGGCCCAGACCCGGCCCAGGCAACCTGGGGAGAGCCCGGACGGACGGGCTGAACGTCCCTAAGCCAAAAGCCCGGCGCCCATTTGGAGAGCGCTTCCAGGTAGACTGCTCCGGGGGCTGGAGGCGCGACGCCCCGACCACGTGCCCCTGCAAAGTCACCTTCCTCGTTCGCGCCCCGGCCGGCCCGACTCCCCCACGCCGCCTCATTGGCCGCCGCCGCCGCGGGCTCCGCCCCCTCTCGCTTCCCATTGGCTGCACAGGCAAGGCGGCGGGCTGCTCCCGAGCGCTTACTCACTCTGCGCGGGGGGGCCGCAGACATACTGGCGGAAGAAGGGGCTGGCGCGCGCCCCGTCCTTGATGCGCGCCGCCAGGGGCTTCGAGAGCTGCCGGACGCCCAGGTAGAGCAACTTGGCGATCGGGAAGGCGCCGGCCACCATCCTGGCGCTCCCAGCGGCCCCCGCGCGGAGCGGCCCGCCAATGTCGAGCGCGCTGACGCCGGCACGCTCCGCGCGCCCCGCCCTTTACGTTGCCCTCTGGCGTCAGCTCGCGTATGCAAATGAGTACGCAAATGTATCCCTCCCACGGCCTCTCCGAACACGGCAGCCGCGCGAGGGGCGGGGACGAGGCCTGTGCTCAGGTAGCTTCGTTTCCTCATGAATACATAAAGTACCGCGTCCTATCAAGTGTGGAGACAGGTAGTGGCGGGCCACGCTTCCCCTCCTTGCCCCTCCCTCGCCCCTCCCTCAACTCCCAGACCTGAGGGGAAAGTGTGCCGGCCCGCTTCCGGTTTAAACCGGAAACTACTCGCTATAGAGACGGCGGGGAGGTCGGGGCGGTTGGTCCTTGGCTGGTGGACCATAGATACACGAAGCAGAGCGACCTGCCCGCGGGCGCCCTCCTGGCGTCGCCCTCCAGTTTTTTCTGCTTGCGGGGAGACCCCGAAAAGCCCCCCCGCCCTCAGTGAAGCTTTGGGTTTGCGGTGGAGGGCCGGGGAAGAGCGGGGCTCGCGCTGCAGGAGGCGGGACTCCAAGGCCCATCGTCCTGGGCCAGGAGCCGCAGCCCCCCCCCCCCAGTGAGTCCTTGCGCTCTGCACGACCCTCCTTGGCGGCCCGCAGATGGGCCGGCGAGGGAGCATTCACTCTCTCTCTCTCTCACACACACACACACACACACACAGGCTACAATTGTTCATTGAAACGGGCTGGTCTTGGGTTCAGCTTCTGTTCATAAAGTGAGGATGTCTCGCATTATCTGGCAGAAAAATGAACTTCTGGCTGAGTAACTCAACGTGCTCAGGAAGCGAGGATGAAGGCGAGGGAGAGTAAATGAGGCGCGGAGATGGGTGCTCTGGGTCCTAGGAGGAGAAGCCCTGCACCCTTCCTGGGAAGTCTCACACACCATACACACACACACACACACACCATGGCTGGGTTTTTTTCCTGGCCAGGAGACTGACCACATGCTGGTCCCTCCCACAGACCCAGACCCCTGAACGCAGATGGGAGGGCTGTGGTTAGAGCAGAAAGGAGAGTCGGGGCACCCCAACGTTAAATCACTTTTCTCTGCCCTTTTAGGTGCTGCCACCTTCTTTGCCAGAAGAGCTAATTGACACCCTGAGAGGGAGCAGCTGCCAAGCGGAGAAAGAAACCGTCCGCAGGTTAGCTCCAAGACTTCAAACACGACTCCGTTTGTTGGAAGGGTCTGGGGAATTTATAAAATCCCATGTGCATCGCAGTCCTTCTGGAGTAAAATGTCTATGGAGATTCTCAATCCTCCAGGTCATGGTTGTCCCAAAGGTGCTTTTCCAAAGGCAACTGGACTTTCTTGGGTTTTTTTCCTTGAAAACGTTTCACTTCTGAAGAACTGAAGAAGCTTCTTGGAAGAGAAGTAAAACATTTTCAAGAAAAAAACAAGAAAGTCCAGTTGCCATTTGGAAAAGCACCTTTGGGACATGCTAAAGTTGAACTGAGGCGTTTCAGGTCCCAACCCTGGGAAAGTCAAAGGGACCGACCTTCCCCCGCTCTGCTCCTCAGACCAGCCACTGCGTCCTCTTTTCGACATTCCAGCAGCCGGAGGATCCAGCCAAGAGAGACAGAGAAAGCTAAATAAACAGCACCAGAAAAAGTCTCCCGTTCTGACATTCACCCTCAGAACATCTTGGGAGCTGCAAGATGGGAGATTTCAGGCAGGAGGGTAAACCCTCCTTCGCCAGTAGTGATGCTGCCGCCTCCCTGTCCCAGTGGGAGTGGGCATATTTTAGGCTATCCGACCCCAAGGCAAGGCGTGGCTGAGATTGACAGATGCCTCCTGCTCTGGAGAGCCCTGTCCACTGGCCTCACCTTTGGCCTCTTGTGTTTATTCCCAGGAAGCCTCTCGGTCCAGTGGCCCTCGGTGAGGCTAAGATTAGGCTGTTCTCATCTCGGAATGTTACTGATGGTAATCTTTCATTGTCATACATTCCTGGAACAGAGAGTCATCCACGGGGTAGCTTGCCAGAAGTCCACATTGATTTTGGATTGAGGGAATTTTTGGAAGCAGCTGACATGTCTTATATCTTGTCCCACACAAAGGGCTGATTCACATTGTAACACTACATATATGCAGTAAATTTAGCTATTCTGGGGGGGGGAAATTACTACTTTTACATCATCTCTGCTGACATAAATTAATATCCGTCCCACGCTCATTCATAAACATGCGTTGAAGGGATAATTAGAGTCCACCCCTTCATCAGTTCTTAAATCCAGCTGTGAATGTAACAGGGAACCGACTTCTCAGGCAAACGGGAAGAGGGGCCCCCACCCAGAAAGAAGCCTACAGATACGAACGGGCATTGGTGTCTTTCTGCACAATCAGGAGTACTTCTAAACATCTCCTGTTTTAGGAACTGGTACCCACTGAGAGCTGCCCTCCTCTGGAAGGAAGACAGAGTCCTCCCCCTCTTCCCGTTGGGTGACGGATCAGGCCAGGCTGAGACTTAATTATGTGACAACCAATCATGGACTCTGAAAATGTTCCACTAATGACCCTTCCAGAAACTCCCTGTGTTCGGCTTCCTGTCCTAACTAGGAGATGGGAAACTATAACCAGCTAAGGAGAAACAGACGCGGGTTAATGTTTTCTTCTTGTGATGTTTGAAGGGGCCCTGGGGAAGCATCTGTGTACTGAGAACTGCTAGCTCTGGCTTCATCCATGCGGCTCCTTTCGGCTGCTCTTGTTTAAAGAAGCAGACATAAATTGGGCGAGGGAGAAAAAGCAGGAAGTTCCCAGCTCTGTTGCACAGGAACCCCTGCGTGGCCACTCAGGGCTCAAACCTTACTGCTGCTGCTTCTCTAGATAAGAGAAGTTATCCGTTATCTTTAGAAACCTTTACCTGTTGCTGTCCCGATGCCTTAGGGCGGCAGCTTCCAAAATCACAAACAGCCCTTTGACCTGGTTGTCTGGAAATTGAATGGAGGAAGAGGAAGGCTAGCCTAATGGAAATGGCTGGTTTTGGAGCCGTGCAAAAATGACGGAGGTGAAGACCAGAGAGAGCCCAGTGCAAGGACCCGGTGGCTCCTTTCTCATAGAAGGGGAACTTGTAGAAGAGAGTGACAGTAGGGTCGGGGTGGTGGTTTTTTACACCCTTAAATGGTAAATTGTTGGATGTCGTGTCACATGGTGTCACATAGCGCACATAGTAGGCCGATGGGAATCAGCGCAGTTTTACTGCTTGTGTCTGTGATGGGAGTTTACAGGGAACATCTGGCTGGCCTCAGCATGTGAAATTTGATGGAGCTTCAGCCGTATCCCTGGGTCCCATTTTTATGTGATACAACAGGGTATCGCTGATGAGGTGCTGCTATGCCGCCTGACTGTATGAGGGGAAAATTGCTCTCCCTGCTGTAGTATGGGCAATACATGTGAAGTGCTTTGGATGCTTGGAAGTGTTGTAAGAATGCCAGGTATTGTTATCAATGGACCTAAGTGTGGAACATGTGACAGAAACATGCGCGGACTCAGGACTGTTTTTAAATTGTTGTAATATTATTACTGGCTCTTCAAGACTCCGTTCCTTGTGTCCTCGAGATGCTGCATGGCAGAGCACCTGGTGCTTCTCCAGGAGCATTCACTGCTTAAAAGTCAGGATCTTCATGGGGAGATCCTCGTCTCCCATCCCCAACCCGCCAGCCTGCGAGGAGGGCGGCAGCGGGAAGGCCAAGGGCTGCCGGCAGAAGATGCTCTTCTTGGTGGAAAGAGGGGTGTCGAGGGTGAGCGAGGCACTGGCCATCTCCTGGGGCTTGGAGCTGGTGAGGAAGCGCACCAAGGTGGAGAGGGCCTTGGCCACATCGCTTCGGGCACCTTCGTTGGCAAAGCAGTAGAGGATGGGATCCGCCACGCAGTTCAGGCTGGTGAAAGCCAGCGAAGTGTGGTAAGCCACGAACATCTTCTCCTCAAAGCTGCAGTCGCACGGCCTGCTCAGGTAGACGGTGCTGCGGGAGAGCAGGATGAGGTGGTAGGGGCCGAAGCAGAAGAGGAGGATGGCGATCAGGCTGAGCGAGAGGCGCTTGATCTTCGCCTTCTCCTGCTTCTCGGTGGAGACGTTGCCGCGCACGGCCCTTAGGATCCCCTGGTAGGAGCAGAGCATCAGCATCCAGGGAAAGAGGAAGCCGATGAAGACCCGGTAGAGGTTCATCCAGGCCACCCACTCCTCCATGGGGTACTTCTCGAAGCAGAAGGTGTGGTTGTAGCGATCGTGGAAGAGTTCGTTGTGAAACAGCGGGGCTGAGTTGGCCCCGATCTCGATGGTCCACACCACCAGGCTGACGGTCACCGCAGTCTTGACCCTCCGGAACTTGGCAAAGCGCAGGGGGTGTGCCACGGCCAGGTAGCGGTCCACCGAGATGCAGCAGAGGAAGGCAATGCTGATGTAGATGTTGGTGTAGAAGATGAACCCAAACAGCTTGCAGGATTCCTGCCCGTGGATCCAGTTGTCGTAGTGGAGGAAGTAGTCGATCCAGAGGGGCAGCGTGGCGATGTAGAGCAGGTCCGCGATGGACAGGTTCATCAGGTAGACGCCCAGCTCGTTCTTCTGCCTGACCTGCAGGTAGGCCGCCCAGAGCGCCATGCAGTTGGTGGGCAGCCCCACCGTGATGACGACGATGTACAGGGTGGGCGGGAAGAGGTGGTCTACCCTGGAGTCCACAAGGCAGCTCCAGCTGGCTTGGCTCGCGTTGCACATCCTGGAGCCCAGCTCAGCACCGGAGTTTGCGTGGCTGGAGGTGGTGTATCCGCAGGACCAGGCGGGCCGCCGAAAGGAAGTTCCTGAAGCTGCCACAAGGAAGAGGCTCCATCATCACCCTCTAAACGGTGCCGATTACCTTTGGCTGCCGTCTGCCCGATCTCCGGGGTTGGGCTACCGCCCAGTGGCCTTTCCTGGCTTTTCAGACCTGGGGGAAAGAACGAGAGACGGGTTGCCACTTGCGTCTTTTGTGGTTCGGTTGAGAGCACAAGTCACAGAGAAATTACATGACGCACGTTTTGGGCCAGAGAGGCGAGAGCGGCGGGAACCGTGCCAGAGCCTGGGCTTGTACAAGAAAAACATATGGCGCTTTCCTGGATGTTGAGCCTTAAAATAATAATAATGTTATTGTGAGGAGCCATCAAGTCCAGCCCTTGCTGGTTCACTGCAGGAACTAAAACTGAAACTTTTCTGACAAATGGCTGCTCAGCGTCTGCCTGAACACAAACTGCATCCCCTTTAGAGGAGACCTTAACCTCCCTTGGTCATTTGGATCCACCATCAAACCTGTCTTCCTGTTTATTTGGGATGGTAAAGAAAATGTGTGTTTCTATTCAATAGTATCCTATCCCTCTCCATTCTCTTTTTTCAAGGCTGAACACGTGGGGTCCTCGGTGCTCTCTGAGCTTGGGGTTTTTCTTGCAGATGTTTCATTACCTAATTAGGTAACATCATCAGTGCTAGTAAGTTTGTTCCTTGTTCATATACTGTAGCTTGCCCTGTCTGTGTTGGTTGGGGTATGATGGTAGTGAAATGTCTCCATGAAAACCACCAAGCTGAGAGAGCACCAAGGACAAACCCCCCCCCCCCAGTTCAACCTGGAGCTACAAATGCTCACTTCTGAAGGCTAAATACGTCCTCAGTGTCTTCTGGCAGAACATGAATTCCAACCCTTATGTTACTTACATACATACATACATACATACATACATACATACATACATACATACATGCCTTTGAAAAATGGTTCTGCAGCTTCTGATGAGAGAGAGAGAGCTGAGAAGCCAAGAATTTCTCGGGGCAGGGAAAGGAACCTTTGGGTCCTCCGGAACTTCTGAGAGTAGGGCGGTCATTGTCCTAGACTAAAGTGTCTCAAGATTCTTCCCTATTTTTACAGCAATAAACAAACATGCGTGTGCCCTATTACTTCCTCGGAAAGCACATCCCTTCTTCCATCAAGATCGGTGGCCTGAAACCGAGTCTCAGGCCAGCAGCCCCAACACTCACGATCCGCAATCCTCAGCCTAGCACTTCTGGGAAGCAGGGAGCATATAGAGGGGGCGCCCTCCCCTTTCTTGTGGATATAACCTCACCCATTGGAAAAGGGGTGACACGTGTGGGAGGGGCCCATGAGCTGGTGTGGCAAATTGGGAAGGGGCAGCACCCGAGGAAATAGAGCTGCAATTGAAATGCAGGGTCCCAAAAAGATTTTCCAAAGTCTCAACATCTTTTTTTGTAATCAGCACATTACAAAAAAGATGTTGAGACTTTGGAAGAAGTGCAGAAAAGAACAACTAGGATGATTAAAATCCTGGAGACTAAAACATGTGAAGAACGGTTGCAGGAACTGGGTTTTTCCCAAAGCCTATTGATGGTTCACACGTGTATAGCTGAAATCCGCATCCGTGTGGGCAGCCCCTCTGTTTTAGGGTCTTCATGTACACAGCGCCAAGTCTGCTGCCGTTAAGCCATTTCTCAAGGAATGGCAGGTTGATTCTAGGCAGAAAAGTCTCCTGAAAAATTAATGTTGACCTATTGGGGATGCTTAATCCTTCTGGCTGGAACTGAAGGTCACAAGGACCCCCCTCCCTGCTAAGAGGGTTCCTGGAGGCCCCCCTGCCGGGCTCCAAAGGGCAGAGAACAACGCAGAGACAGGCTGGTGCGCCCACAGCAAGGTTTCTGCCAGCCCAGCCAGGATGTGGGAAGCAGAACCACACTCCCCATCATCCCCAAATTAAAAGTTGTGCCAATTACAAGCCACGCCTGCCAGGGTCCCTGGGCACCAGTTCTCCCCTGCCTCCAACCACGTTTCCTTCACCAGGGATGTTTTTGGAGGTGAGTAAATACAGCTTCATCCTGTTGACAGCAAAGAAGGAACAAAATGGCCGTGTGCAGGCAAGTCGCTCAGATGTGGTGCAGGTACTTTAATGCACTTTGACGAGACGTTAGTGGACCTGAAATCTCCACCAACAGGGAAAGGGGGTCCTTGGAAAAGGACAGATCCCACAAGAAGCAGCGGGTGGAAACTGATCAAGGAAAGAAGCAACCTAGAAATAAGGAGAAATGTCCTGACAGTGAAAACAATTAACCAGTGGAACAACCTGCCTCCAGATGTTGTGGGTGCTCCAACACTGGAAGGTTTTAAACAGATTGGACAACTGGTACAGGGTCTCCTGCCTGAGCAGGGGGGGTTGGACTAGAAGACCTCCAAGGTCCCTTCCAATTCTGTTATTCTGTTAATGTGATCTCCATCCGCTTCCTCCAACTTCCGTGATCCTCAGCCGGCCGAGGGTCGGATTCTGTTCTGCTCTGTACAGCCTCTGGGGCATTGAGAAGAGAGTGGGATGGGGCATACTGGGAAGGGGCGGGCCCTCCTGCAAGGAAGAATGGCAACTGGGGTGAGACTGATGGATTCTGGGCTGGGGAGAGGATGCCAGAGGAAGAGAAGGACTCAGGATTCCCTCCTCCTTTTCCAAACCCGGGGAATGCAACCAATCCTCAAAACCATTTATCTTTTGAAGAAGAAAGGGAAAGCAAAGTTTTACTTCTACGAGCAAGTCAGCTGCTCGCCATCGGTGGCCTTCCTGGAAACGGAGAGCCTGCCGTGGGGAGAGCCTTTCGCGGCCACTCCTGGAGAAACAGCCGGAGGGCCAGGAGGTCAGGCGGAGGTGGGGCACCAACCGGCAAAGACCTGTTGTGGGCACATCCAGGCAAGAAGCCAACATTATCCAGGACCCGCAGGACCCTTTGGGTACTGTTAGCAGGGCGTGCTGAGTAAACGTGTGTGTGTGTGTGTGTCCTGTGAGTTTGGACTTTCCCCGCAGCTCAAATCCTGCTGCCAGAGGTGCCTTCTATTTGTCAAAGCAGTAAAAACGAGGTCAGGGTAGATAAGAAAGGAGCCTCGCAGATACTTAAATTTTCCTCAACGTCTGTAATTGCCCTGCCCCGCCCGAAAGACTTGGGCTCAGCACATTCTCCACTTTGGGCTGCTGTGGAGGGGAAGGGAGATCAAAGGCCTTCGGTGGAAATCGTACTTCTTGTAGGAACCCTTTGGCTTTTCCGAACAGTTAACGAGCAGAACGACTTGACTCCAGACACTGGAGGTTTTTAAGCAGAGACTGGACAGCCGCTTGTCTGAAACAGTGAAGTATACAGGTAGTATACAGTAGCTGGCTCGGGAATTCTGGGGGTTGAAGTCCACAAGACTTAAAGTTCCAAGGTCGGACACTCTTGATCTAGGGTCTTGGGCTTTGAGGGATTGGATGAGAAGACCTCCGAAGTCCCTTCCAACTCTGTTATTTTGTTAATTAATCAGTGGAAAAACGCCTTCAGAAGTTATGGATGCTTCTTCACTGGAGGTTGTCAAGAAGAAACTGGGCGACCATTTATCTGGAATGGCATAGGGTCTCCCGCTTGAGCAGGGGCTGGACTGGAAGACCTCTGAGGTCCCTTCCAACGGTATCATTCTGCTATTCTGCTAAACAGCAGCATCTTTGGTGGGTAATCCAAAGCAACTGGAGGCTAAAACCCAGGAACCGACCCCAAGCAAGCAGCCACCTCGGCCCTCTTTGCTCTCCGCTCTGAGCCACCATGAAGCGGACAGGAAGCTAAGCAGAGAGAGCATCACTGTCCTGGGGTGCTTGTGTGTGTCTGGGGGGGGGGGCTGAGTCCAGGAAAGGGCAGACCCAGCCCTAAGGAAGATGCTGCCATTGTGCAACCAGGTGGCCTGGCTGAAGGCACCCACCGGAGTCCAGGCTGACCACAGTGGGTTGACCCAGGACGCCCATCTGGTGAGCTTAGAGGTCTCCCCAAACCGGGACAAGACAGCCGTAGCACAAGAAGTGTGCAAACAGAGAGTCCAGCTATATACAGGTAGCAATTGCAACCATTCGTTTAGTGACTATTCGAAGTTGCAACGGCACAGCAAAATGTGACTTACAACCGGTTTTCCCACCCAGGACCGCTGCAGTCAAGATTCAGGCGCTTGGCAGCTGGTTCATACTTATGACGGTCGCAGCGTCCCGGAGTCACGTGATCCCCTTTTGCCACCTTCTGATTAGCAAAGTCAGTGGGGGAGCCAGCTTCACTTAGCAACCGTGTGACTAAACAACTGCAACGATTCGCTTAACAACTCTGGCAAGAAAGGTGACAAAATGGCACAAAGCTCACTTAGCGGGTGTCTTGTTTCGCAGTGAAAATTTTGGACTCGGTTGTGACCGTCAGTGGAGAACGGCCTGTCTGTGGAGCCTCTCCTGGGAGGACCGTCCTTACCCGGAGGGTCGAGCCAGGGAGTCAACCTCAGGGGGTCAGTACAATCCACCCAGTTTTAAAAAAGGAATTGGAGCAGTTTGTTAACAAGGAATTAAATTCTGGATGGGCGCCTGTTACGCCAGGAGCCACACACGGCTGCAGCAGACGGCCTGCCCTAGAGGCAGAACAAGGACAGAAAGGGATGGGGGGGCCGGAGCCGTCTCCCTCCTCAAGGACATTGTCTTCTTCTATTACTGGCCCAAATGAGATTAAGAATACAATTCTGGACCCCGGTTCCCACCTGCTTCCGAATGGGCTAAGCAGCTGGCAGACGGCCTCTGCTGCCTGGAAGGAACGTGGCCAGCCTTGGCCCTGACCTGCCATCCTTACAAATGTTTGAGTATCCTGAATAAATTCTTTGCTCACCGCTCATCGTAGGGAGGCAGGGCAGAAATTCAAGCCAGGAAATG